GGGGGCGGGGGCACGGTAAGGAGGGCAAAAGGCCTGCCCTACCTCTGCGCAGAGAGGTGCGAGGGCGAGGAAGAGAGTGTCCCTGGACGCGCACCACCACCACCAGCACTTACCCGATGAGATCGGGCACCAGCACGCGCCGCCGCACGTAGCGCTGCTCTGGTGTGGCGTGCGGACGAGGGGCACAGGCGGTGAGAAAGCCGGGGATCATCTTGCGGTAGAGATAGCCCCACTGTTGGTTGTTTGAGCACAGGGATCACTTCAGGGGGCCCATGCGTGGCAAGACCGAGCACGCGGTGAAGTGGCAACACATACTGAACTGCAGAGGAAGAGAGAGTGAGCCCAATCTGGACTCGGCAAAGACAGAGGCACGTCTCGCGCGCGCACACAAACAGACGGGCGGGGCCAGGCTGGGCAGCGGGGCTGGGCGCATGGTGCTGTTGCTTTGCCATTGCGCGCAACACAACATCATCACTCACGGCTCGCCATGCAGACACAGCACCGTCTCGGTGACGACGGCCTTGCCGCTTTGCTCGGCATGTGGCGCCTCGCAGCCGTCGCGCGTGTCGAGCACGGGGCCGGCAATGTCGAGATAGGCATAGCGCACGTTGCCCCAGACGGCGTAGCGTGCGCGGTACGGCAGCTCGGCGAGAATGTCGGGCAGCGCGGCGAGCGCGGTGCGGTGCAGGCGCGAGGGGTCGATGTGCGGCGGTGTCATCGCGGCGAGGTGGGTGGTGGGCAGGAAGAGGAAGGTGGAGAGCCGCGCGCGCTCGGCAAGTCTGGGAGAGCCGGTGGCCCGAGCAGCGTGGGAGCAGTGCGGGCTCGACGCCGAGCGGGCGTGCTGCTTATGTCAGCAGAGCGGCGGGCACCCTTGCGGCAAGCGCGCGCGCGCGCCTTCGAGGCTTGCTTGCTTGCTTGCGCTCCACCTCGCTCACCTCCACCGCTCCGACCTTCGACGCATCTTCGTGCGCAATAAGCATGTCTCGCGCCTCCTCTCCCCTCTCCGACGCCGGCTCCACCGATCTCTCCCTCTTCACCGAGCCCGCCTCTTTCCGTCCGGCCACTCCTCCTCCCTCCACCGCGCACTTCACACTCCCCCCTGCTCCCCCTTCGCTCGGCCTCTCCTCCGCCGATGGCGCCGCACAAGACATCCTGCTGCATCTCGTCGGCGCACATCCATTATGGGGGCATCATCTCTGGAACGCCGCGCCCGTCCTCTCGCGCTTCCTCAACGCCCATGCCCCCACGCTGCTCGCACAGCGCTCCGTCTTGGAGCTCGGCGCCGCCGCCGGCCTGCCGTGCGTCGTGGCGCGCAAGCGCGGCGCCGCAACGACGGTGGCGAGCGACTGGCCCGACATTGAGCTGCTTGCGAATCTGCGCCGCAATGTAGAGGCCGTCGGAGGCATTGCTGAGGTACGTTCTTCTTTGCTCTCGTGCTGCGCTTGTGGGGGAGGATAGAGGCTGATGTAGCGGCATGAGAGCAGGGATTCGTATGGGGCACAGATCCAGCCGCGCTGCTCTCGCATCTGCCATGTGACTCGAGTGCGTCTGCGGCGGCGCCGAGGTTCGACCTGCTCCTTCTCTCCGACTTGGTCTTCAACCATCAGGCGCACCCCGCGCTGCTCAAGACACTCTACCACACTCTCTCTGCTGCGCCTTCCTGCGCCTCGGTATCGCCGCAGTCTTCGTCGCAGTCTGAGGCGTCTGCCTCTGCTCGCAGCAGCAGCAGCAGCAGCGCGACGGCCGACGAGGCATCCTCCTCGTCGCCGCGCTCGCGCTCGCGCTCCACGGCGCATGATGCGCCGCCAGAGGGCCGCAGTGCCGCACCACAGACGCCCTGTGCGCTCGTCTTCTTTTCGCACCATCGCCCCCAGCTGGCACACAAGGACATGCGCTTCCTGGCGCTCGCCAGGAAGTGCGGCTGGCGCACCGAGGAGGTGGGACGATGGCGGATGCCTGTGAGTGTCTTCGAAC